ATATATCAACTCTGGCATTACGAGGTACTGTAGAGATGGCAGATAAAATTGCAATGAGCTCGGCCTTGTATGAAGAGAGCCAGTTGAGGATTTTGGCTAAGAATTGGTTGATGATTTGGTCGTTATCTAGTTGCACCCAACCTATTCTCATTGAGCAATTACTAGTACCTATGTCTGATACTGAGGTGTCTGTATAAAAAGTGAATATTTGTGTGCTACTATTAGTAAGAGATAGGGTTTGGGGCATGGGGGTAAAAATTAGGCATGCCTATGTAGGCATGCCTTGAGCTGAGGCATGCCCCCTATGCCTATGGGCATGCCCCTTTATGCTTATATGGTGATCAACTGTCAATAAACCAATCATATATCTCAAATCACATGATTCTGCAATAGAAACTTTAGTATTATAGTACTCTATACTTGAACTTGTACCTTCTTTCTTCCTTTTGCAGGTTTGCTTCGCTGGAAAATCATACACTCACTCGCCAACCTGGGAACCGATATTTACTATGGTTATCCGGAATAATTATGCTTACCCAGTTGACCCATAAATGTTTATAATACGGTTCTATTTTTTTCATGTGACTTTTCTTTAGTTAAAAATCGAGTTATATTTAAAACAAGATTTTTTTTTACTAAACAAATCGATCTTTGTCAGTAAGTATGATTATTTGAAATATTATTTTCATTTACTCAAATTTTGGCGCAATATAGATAACTTCTTATTATAGCCTTTTTGTTTATAATTTATGCGCCAAATCGTATAATGAAAAAAACCTATTAATAAGAGTTATCTATATTGCACCAAATTTGGAGCAAGCAAAAGATGATATTTCGAACTTAGCAGATGAAATTCGATTTGTTTAATAAAAAATCCGGGTTAGCCAAATTATTTAAGCAACTCGATTTGGTATTCTGGTAATAATCTCATAATCCGGTTTGTAATCTGGAAAGCAAATTTTATATGGGCTTACAGTAACCCTTAACTGTAGGCACCTCAATTGTTAAATTCAAGTACTACGCATAAATTAGTTGTTAAGTATATATTACTCTTGCATATTGTTTCTACAGTATGCAAAGAGATTGAGAATTTTAGATCCTTCGCTCTATTGAGATTAATGATTTAAATAATTTATTTTTAATGTGCGTTATCTCTACATTATACGTACAATAATTTTTTTAAATTATTTCAATACAGTTTTTAATGTTATATACTCGACATAGTAGATATATACTGATAAATTCTATTTATAATTTATATACTAGAAACTATTGATTTTGTAAAACCTCTTCAATCGACCATTCTCTGCTTTCAATATTAGTTGAAGGATTAGAAGTTTCTTCAACAAAAGAAAATTCTTTCTGCTCCTTTTCGAATACTTCAAAATCGAAAAATTCATCTATAACAGAAATTTCATCTTCAATACTAACAGTTTCAATTTGTTTGTCTACTTTGTCGAATCCTTCGTCTTGTTCTAGTTCATCTGTCTCATCAAAAAATATGTCGATACTTTCTTCAGAAGACTCAGGTATTGAAATAGTTTTTTTTTCTTTTTTCTTTTTTTGAGAGATGGCTTGTTGAAGCTCATTTTTAATCTGCCCAAGTTTAGAAAGTGTGTCGGGAGAAAGGCAATTTCTTGTTTTAGTTTTGGTAAGGCCCAAAGAAGAGAAAAGTCGTTCACAAGCTGCTCTATGAGGTACAATAGCAAAAACTTTCATGGCAAATTGGCGAAGAAGGGATGAATTTCCAGTAAAATTTGCCCAAAAAGATCTAGGTAACTGTTGAAGGTTAGTACTAATATGGTTGAAAGGAGGAGCACCATCTTTATAGCTATTCAACTCTTTAAGAAGCAGACTAGCATCCGGTTTTTTAAAGTTCCAGACCCTGGCTAACTCCAAACATCTACGCACAAGACATTTTCCATTCATATACGTTGACATGGCCATTTTTTGTAAGTTGGGGAGAGAAATAGAGCAACAAAATAAATATCATCAGAAAATTCTCTTGCTCTTCGGCTAATAACAGCCAATACATGGGCTTTGAAACCGGGAATAGGAACTTCAAGTCTGGATACTTCACGATGAACGTATATTAATTCTTTAAAAACGTCGGCCAAAGTGGCATCTCTTGATTCAAGCCTACCAATCGCATCAACAACTGGTTTAATAACTTGAATCAGTGTATCATTGCTGGCAAAATAATACCTGTCATTAATAATATTTTTAATATTTTCTATAATTTCTGGATAATTTATTTATCAGATTCGCTTAACCTAAGACAGTATAGAAAGCCTCTTTCAAAGGTGGATATGCTCAAGCAGACCTTAGCAATAGAGTACCACCTCGTTTCACAAAATGTACTCAAAAAATGGGAAACACTATTTTCTTTTTGCCAAGTTCGCAAAGCCCCGTTGCCATATATGCGAAGCAGTAAAGAAATTTACAAGTTTTTGATTCTTATTACAAGTAAGAACAATACCAGTAAAGCTGGCAATGTTCTTTACAATAAGATTAAACGCATGTAAGCAACATCTAATGGGGATAATACTTTGATATTTATCCTAAGAAAAAAAAAAAAAAAGTATTAAAAGCACTGGCAGAATTTAAAAATTTTGCCATGTTGAACGGCAAGATTCGAATGCTACTCAAACTGCCATTCAAATGGTGGTTTGAGTGGTATTCGAATCTTGCCATTCAACATGGCAAATTTTAGTAATATTTTATTAATATTTTTTACTTACATTTAGAAGATTTTTTATTGACACCATTACAGGAGGATTATCGGTAACGCATGCGATTGCAGATGATATTTTAAATCTATTACTAATAAAAACTTCTTGTATTTTGTTCATAATAAAGGTTGCTTTATAGCGATTTGCAGATAAGTCGACAATATCAGTAACATGTTCCTCACGTTTCTTAAGAATCATAAATCCATAGATAGAGTTTCCGGATATGTCTGTTCAGCCATCTAGACATATAGTAGCATCAGTAAAAGTTAACATAATGGTTAACTTTTTTTGAAGATGGTTAGAGAACGTTTTTGTCAAAATACGTCCTCGTAACATATCAAGGGAAGGAGGTTGATAACTAGGAGCCAATT